GTCAAATGGAGTCACCAAGAGCTCCGTTCTTGAAGACTCTTTGCCAGAGTTGAGGTTTACGGGAGGAATAATTTACTCACACCAGAAAGATGACTGCTCTTTGCTCTGCCAGGATATAATGTGAGTTCATTTTTAACTGGGAGGAGGATTTGAAACAGTTAACTTACTTCAGAGACATACTAATGTAACTATGTATAAATATGCACTCGTCTCGAGTTGTCTTGTCTTGTGACTTGCTGTGATTCTGACGCCCCCTAATTGGTGTTTTGTCTATGTTCCTTTATCTATGTTCCTTTGTTCTGTCTTCCCGCATCTGTGTCATGTGACGTATCGTTATAAAAGGCATTGGCGCCTGATTTTCAAACAGTGCTGGAGTTGCTGTTCGTCTGTCTGTATGTGTTTTCAGACCAAGCCACCTATTGGTGTAACCAGCACTCTTTCTAAAACACCCTTGAATAAGATCAGGGTGAAAATTTTAGTTATACCAATAAATATATTTTAAACCACAAGAGAGTCTGTTTGTTACACTAACTCACCATTTAATAACTAGTACAACTATACTACATGTAGATTTATAATCTACATGTAGTATAGTTGTACTAGTATATGNTATGCACGTGTATCCATTTACTGCATCTTTGCAAAGTCCTTTGAGACATGGGTTCGAGGAACATTCATTTAAATTCACATTGCAAGTTGAACCAGAAAATCCCGATATGCATGAACAAACGAATCCATTGACTTTATCTGTGCATACGGCGCCATTTTTGCAAGGTTGGGAAGCACACTCGTCTATGTTCGTTTCACACTGGGCACCGGTGAACCCATGATCACAATGACATGTGTATGCAGCTTCTAAGTCGCGGCAAGTGCCATGTTTACACGGATTCGATGCACACTCGTTAATGTTTGTCTTGCAGTGGTTCCCAGTGAAACCAAGATTACAAATGCAAACGTACTTATTTACACCGTCTAAACATCTTCCGTTTTTACCGCATGGGTTAGGATCACAATCGTTAATGTTTATTTCACATTTTCTTCCAGTGAAGCCAGTTGGACAAGAACATTTATATCCATCCGCAGTGTTTGTACATTTACCGCCATTTTGACATGGGGATGTATAGCACTCTGGAATGGATGGAAATTGACCCTTAAATATGTGATACTACCATATATCATCTTCGTTTGTGATAGATTACATGTATGTAGACGTCTAAATCCCTATTTACTTAATAACTAGCTTTCCAGGATATTGCTGTTACCATGCCAAAAAATAAAGGTATGTATATAACTCTCCTCTGTTAAACTCGGATGTTCATAAAAAAAAACTTTTAAAGCGTTAATGAAGTAAAAAAATCTTGACTTGATGTTTATCCACAAAAATACTGTTAAAGCATTTTGAAGCCAAAACATTTTGATTTAATTACTGCGCATGGGAGACGTTAGCAATCTAAACAGTTTATTTCTTTGAAGGTTAGCTTTATTCACAAAGAATATATAAACATAAACTGTTACAGATTTAAACCAAAAGAATTGCATTTACCGTTACGCACACACGTCGGTGCCGACCCACTCCAATTAGCTGAGGATCCTTGAACCTCACACCTTCGATCGAGATTCCCAGCAATTACTGTGTAGCCGTAGTAACATCTGTAGATAATGCTTTCTCCTACGTTGTTTCGGGCTTGTAGCGTCATGGTTTTAGATGGGCTTGAAGGCATCGTGCATTCTGAGTAGTGGAAAATATCATATTTTTTAAAAAAATTGCATCATGATATTGATATAATATCCCCTTTTGTATTAAAATTTTTGTTGTTCATTTTTGAACAATGCTAAGATTAGAAACAGTCACCTTTAATTATTTGGGGTCTTTTGTTTTGCACAATAACTTAAATTATGCCTACGTCTCTTTTCACAGTTGACGCCACCAAAGCCAGCAGGACATTCACACGTATAACCAGTGTTCTCTGCGGAACCCGAATTCCCCTTCGGTTTAAACAAAGCCGCCCACCCCGAGATCAAGCTGTTTGTACTCCGTTTGCGTCTTTTATTATCAGTCTCCTTGCATTTTCCGCCGTTTTTGCAGGGGTTTGCAGAACAAACCGTTGCTGTAGATGTTGGTCCTAAACTTAATGTACTTCCTGTGAAAGGAACAAAAACATTCAGTCACATGTGGATTAGAGAATTGCGGTTTCGGTGTTTTCTGGTTCATAGGCGTTTTATTTTAATCGTATTTAAACAAAACAAAACTCGTCCTTAACACCACTCAGAAAAGAAAATAAACAAAAACGTCATATTTACCTGCCCGCTTCTCGCAAACAAACCATCGTGAATCCTCGCAGTCATCGTCTCGTATTTTTGAAGAGCTGGTTGTTGTTATATACCCACATGTGCTTCTTCTTGCTGAAATTACACGAGGGCATTTATTTCAGTTTGGGAACACATTAATTAGTGTTAAAATGTTCTGAAACGTATAAAAAAGTATTTGTAGTGTCAAATTCTCACTAACTCACCAAAGCATTTTTTTGTAGAGGAAAAGGAAATTTAAGTCTTAATGAGAAGAAACTGCCATTTATTTGTATTTTAAGACCAACACTGTTACATTGGCACTGCCAGTGGGCTACATATGCGAGTCCTGGTCCACAGTGGGAAACAAATACATCACAAATGTAATGGAATACTCACTAATCTTACACTTGTCGTTAGAAATGGCCAGATATCTGTAGTAAGTCCCCGTCACAGAACTGAAAATCAAAGACCAAGCCTTCAGTCAAGATGAAGATCATACATGTACAAATGCTTAAAGAAATATTCGGTTCTAATCTATATGCTACATAGTCTACGGTATATTCCAGGTGATATCCTTCTTCGACTGCGTCCTAGCTCACAGTCTAAATTTGCCCTACCCTCTACCAGGGTGGCAGATTATATAGGGAAAAATGAAAAAAAAAAAAAACACCCTGTGACTTTTGGCATAATGGAAGCAATGACATTTGCCTCACGCAGATGGCATTGCACCCGCTCTGCAGGAGCTTCGCTTTCTGTCGATGTGATAACTGCTCGTTACGCAACCTGTCTAAAACCCCCTTTACACTGGACGGCGTCCTTTCTGCGTCCTTTGTGCGACCATGAAACTGGCCAGGACGCCGTCGGACGCTCAAAGAACGCACAGTGANTTTCTGCGTCCTTTGTGCGACCATGAAACTGGCCAGGACGCCGTCGGACGCTCAAAGAACGCACAGTGATCGCCAAGGTCGCACAAAGAACGTTCAAGCATCGCCGAGGACGCCATGGACGCTGCGAAGTTTTGAGCATGTTCAAAACAATCGCAGAGAGAACGCGATGTAGGATGGTCGATCAATGGACACAGAAAGGACGCACAGGCATCGCCGTAGTCGCAGAAAGAACGCACAAGCGATCGCCGCGGTCGCAGAGAGGCCGCACAAGCATCGCCGCGGTCGTAGAAAGGAGGCACAAGCATCGCTTTGGTTGCAGAATGAAAACTCTAAGATCGTCCAGTGTTCGACACGTAGAACTTTTTTTTTCACTCTCAAACGGGGCCGTGCTGAGGTATTTTTCACCAGAAAGGAATTCTAAGGGTAACAGTGGTCTCATATCAGCCTCCGATTGTTTTTTCCCCTAAAATTCATGAAACGATCCATTTTTTTGAGGTCATTATTAAACGAATATTTTGCCTTTTTTACAAGATTAATTGTCAGAATTTTTTGCAGAATGCTTCATTTGAAAACGGATTCAAAATATCTATGTTGTGTCAGTCAAACTCGTTTTCGGTCCCTGTCCATCCTTCTTATAAGGATAACAATGAGCATCTGGCTGATTACCAGTCCATGCAGACCTTGCATCACTATAGTTTAAAGCGTTTATTCCCATTTATTTGTTTTGTGTGCTGGAAATGTTCTTTATTGGATGACCTGCTTAGAACCGATGAAAACATGAGTTAGAATATAGAGAAGGACGCCCAAATAACGCTCATCGGTCAAGCAGGATGCAGAATGATCGTAGAATAGACGCCACTGATTGCCGATGAAGGTACAGAGAACGCAGCAAGAATGCTCAATGGTCTCTCAAAAATCGCAATGGACTGTCCAGCAGTTATGCAATCAATTACCAGCCATGTAATCAGCCTTGAGATTTAACCACAGGGCGACACAGAGCCAAATGACTATGTATCTACCTGTAGGAACAGATCTGTGAATATATCTGTGAAAAATCAACATGTCGCCCTGGTAGAGGGTAAATTTGCGCTATATCCTCCATCGTTATGTGCGCTCTGCATGCNGAAAGACGCCCAAACAACGCTCATCGGTCAAGCAGGATGCAGAATGATCGTAGAATAGACGCCACTGATCGCCGATGAAGGTACAGAGAACGCAGCAAGAATGCTCAATGGTCGCTCAAACATCGCAATGGATGCCTTTGGTTGCACAGGGGACGTACAGTGGAGGCAGGCAGGTTGCTCGCAGTTTTACAGGTAAAATCAAGATTCGGTCGTTCAAAGGACGCACAGGGGACGCAGACGCCTTTACACTGAGACACGATTTAATTGCTTTGGCGACCGTTGAGCGTCCTGACCACATTTTTGAACGCAGAAGGGACGCAGAAAGGACGCCGTCCAGTGTAAAGGGGCCCTTAGGAGTCAGAACAGAACATAACACAGGCACAGAGGGCATGTCATCCATGTGGATTCAATATCCAATAAAGAAAGTACTATGTAAGTAATCTAACAATCCATCTTGTTTCAGTGTTGATTTTTAAGGTGTTATTATTATTATCATTATAATTATTATTATTGATTTTAGGTACTATTTAGGTGAAAAAAAACCTGCCTAAACAGCAGGAAGCAAACTTGTGAACAGCTTATGACAGGGAAGTCAAATCCCCTGTAAGGTAATTGTTTGGTATAACCTCTGAAAATGTGCCAGTAATGTGCCAGTAAAGTTGTTTCTCTATGATATAATACTCAAAGTGAGAGCCGGGAGGTCTATAATGTACATTTACAAATATTCAATAGACTCACCATCTATTTTATTGGCAGCACATAGACAAGGTATTTCAGGTCTATAATCTCTCAATTCTTTAAACCAATTTGGTAAATTTTTATAAGTGATTTTTCTAGTTACATCAAATACCTGAAAAAGAAAACAATCAATTTATTACTTCGGTCACTTATTTCAGATAAATGTTCAATCGGTATCTTATTAAAGTACATACAACAATTCAGCGACATCCCTCTAAATACATCTCAATAAGGGAAAAAATCAACGCTACTGAGATTTAACAAATTCTTATATTCTGCATGGAGTAAAGTAATAACTAAACTGGATAACACTTACTAGTATACATGCATGCGCTTGATGATAGTATGAGGGGTGCATACTACTAAATCTCTCCTGGCCTGCCGTATCCCAAAAATCTACAAAGATAAAAAGATCATATAATGAAAAAAGGCATTTTTCATGAAACTTAGTCTTGTTGCAATATGTTTTTTTTTTTTTTTTCCAGTGGCACTAATAGTACTAGTACATATATTCCTAATGCTATGAATCTAGAGCAATTTAACACAAGTACAAAAATACAAAGTCCAATCAGATTTAATTTCTTGCCTGTTTAACAACGCAACATTTTTGTTAACTTTCAGTAGCACGGCTCCATGTGTAATGACATCCATTCAAAGCAATTAAGAAGGTTTTTATATTACAAAGTCCAAATCAGCCACCGGCTTCCATATGTATAGACATTAATGTGATTTTCATTGGAACAAATTTAAAAACCTCCAATAAGAGAATCAAAAAGGAATTGATGCTAGTATTTCAAGTGGGATGAGTTAATAGTTTAACACTTCATTAAGTATCTCAGGGTGGAAATATATAAACCTAAGTACTTGTTAGCAGTTCACTTTTAAAATGGAGACAAACTTGGGTGCAAAATTGAAACTGCAAAAGGGTTTGATATTCAGTTTACAGCTTATGAGACAATGAGAGACTCCAAGCCATAGTTAAAAGTACTGAAAGTTGTAAAGATATCCAGTAAATGTTCCAGTTCAATACTTGATAAAAAAAAAAAAAAAGCATGGCTATACATAATGTTACTCTAAATGATGCTTAAAATGGCATTTTTATGCAATAAAGCATGTAAGTCACACCTTTAAAATAAGAATTTAAATTTGTTTTAAAGTTCAAACTTACCAACAGCTACCTCTTTCTTGTTAACCTTTGTTTTATACCTAAATAATGTGAGAGCATATGTGGACAACTGCTGAGGTTGGCTGAAAATTGTGGTTAAGAGAAATACTTTGGTAGAAAACCTGATTAATTTTTCATTTCTCATAATTCTTGAATTCTTTTTAAGGGAGTGGGGGGATAGAAAACCTGATCAATTTTCATTTCTTATAATTTTTTTTTTTTTTTTTTTTTTTTTACAAGGGGAGGGGATACCTTGTTCTGACTTTACATATATAGTAATACCACAAAATAAAAATCATATTTCTTTAAAAGTCATCATTTGGCAGATACTCAAATAATTCATAACATCTCTAAGAACAATATAAATGTAGACGTCAAAGATAAATTGATAGGAAATGACATGCCTTGCACAAATACAGTGATTGTTGTAGTTTTAGGTGCTATCAGTTAACCAAAAAATCAATACTGACTCATAGACTCTATGAAAATTGCACTTTCTAATAACATAATACCCCTGCTATTTAATTACTTCAGTCAACAGAAACTCTGAGTTATTGAGTGCTTTGACATGCACAGAAAATGTATTGAATAGCAATCATTTACGTCTGAGAGAGTGTGAGAGAGAGAGAGCATAAACACATATCAAAAACTAGGAATATTTATGAAAAGTTCAGCAGGTTTGACATGTCATATTTCATTAATATTGTCACTCTTTCCTGAACTTTCTCATTAACCTGAGTATGCAAGTGATAACGTACATCAGCTGCACAAAAGAAAATTGCATGTCTGCTCACTCCAGGTATCTAATTAAAAAGAAATGCAGCACTATACTGTAAATGGTCTTGAATAATTATGCCATTTTGATATTCAATCAAAGGATACTATCCATCCATGAGGAAACGCTCCACCAGCCTGCAAAACAAAATGAAAATCATTTCAAAAAATTATTTTTTTTAAATAATGTACAGTAATAGAACTGTGACACAATTAAAAGAATATGTTACAATTGATGTCTGGTCTATCAATTAAGGTTTAACACACAAAAAAAAAGGAGAAATCTGTATTCTGCTTCTCAGCAGGAAATATCAAGAGCTACAAATACAATACTATTACTATTACTGAAGTAATATGACCTTATCACTAATTACTTGAAGTCATATATTAACCATTGTTTTAAAATGGAACTGCTTTGGATACAGGAGGCAATATTTTGCTAGTACCTCAGGTTTTGCTATGACAACTAACTATAATGTTAAAAGATTTAAATGTAGGTCAGGTTGTTGTTTTTTTTTTTAAACACCATTCGATTAATTTACGGTTGTGATTCTTCAAGCAGCTATTTGTTTTTCTCTGTACTAGCCTTTTAGAACTCCACAAATCATAATTAATAATATTTTTAATCTCTGATTTATGATATTAAAATAAATCAAACACTTTTATCTTAATTTTTGTTTAATTATGTTCTACTAAATTTACTGCTTTTGTGTAGTATTATCTTTGATTGAAGTGTTATGTGCCAGAATTTATTTATAAAAGAATCATATATGTATGCTAGAACAACTGCACTGTCTTCGAAGACCATCAAGAAGTGTGAAAACTGAAAAGCTTCTGAAACAGACAGGGCCTTAGACCCTTCGTTATGTTTAACATCTCATAAAGCCCACAATATATTACTTTGTATGGCCTACACCTATTGAAAGAGGAACAGACATTCACAGCTTCCCCATTTGTTATCATTTAAAGAATACTAATTAGGACTAAATGAAGCCAACTGTCAAAATAACATGTGGGTTCAGCTGTAAGTGGTGTGAAATTGAGATAAGACCAGACTTGGGAGAAAAAACTTTGGAGGATCATAAGGTCTGAAGGAAATCTGCAGGTCCTTCTAATTCAGTACTGGTCCGTTAAGTTCCTTTAGTCGGTGTTTACATGTGATTTATTTTTATCATTGTATTTTCACATAAACCTTGCTGGCCCAGAGGACCTGCAGTTATTAAAAATCTCGCTGGCCCTCTGGCTTCTTAGCAGTCCTGACTAGTCAGACTGGCAGTTTCCCCATGTCTGTAACGACTTCGTTAAGGATTAAAGTTATAAATTTATTCTCTTCATACAACATTACACACACAAATATTGGCAGAATAATTCAACAAAACATTTGGATTTGATATACCCTGCCATGTCTTTTATATATGGCACATATAGCACCAGTGAAAAGATATTGTGGATATGTCAACTATATTAAACTTCATAATGTATTTTATTAATCAGAAATTTTATTTCTGCTTTTCTTTTTAGAATAAAGATAAATTAAATGTTGTGTACTTTGGAACCATAACATCTAAAGCCTATACCTACTACAGCAACCATTCCTACAAATAAGAGGGGTGCTGTTAAGTGCTATTGGTCCAAACCTTTTTTATTCAAAAGAGACTGAGTAAGTTCATGTTTATAAATAAATTATCATTTATGTAACTTTTTTTGTCTGTTTGGAATGCATATCTCTCTCCTTAAGTACTCTGAAATAAGGGCTGAAATCAACCAGTTTTACAAACAAGTGTGGGTATTTAACTTATTGAGTTTAAATTGAAATCTGATTTTTATTAGCATCTTTTAGAGATTATATGTGAAGCTTTCAAAACTGCATTTCAATTAGCATATTTTAAGATGCTTAGTGCCAGCAATGCTGACATCATTTTGGCTATTTCCCAATAAATATTTAAAAAATAATAATAAACTCAGACCCAATCTATCACAAGTTGAAACATTCTGTTAAAATATTCGACCTGTACTTAGTGTGCAATGATGTTCATAATTGAAATATTTATTTTAAATAAGATCAAAAATGACACATTGTTGTATAAAACGATTGTAAGTTCCTGGCTGGGACATTTTACTTCCTTTCCTAAATGCAATGTTGCATAACAAAGTTAACCACTGCTAACTACTGTTGATCATTCTTCTTTTAGTTGATCACTACTAGTTCACTGCATCATTAGGGCACTGACGACAGGCAAATGAGAAACAAAACACTGCTAAACCGGCATCTTATAAAACAGCCAATTAAGCTCTTCAGATCATTTATTTATCACTGAAACTAGTGTTATCTTACTTTTCATTTTGAATCGGAACACCGACGCCAATAATACAAGATCCAATAATTTCGGATTTCGGGTGCATTTCTACCAACTGATGGTTTCATAATGTGATATTGTAACTCACTTTGATTTTCCAACTGCACTGTCCCCTAAACATATTACTTTTACTTTTTCTTCACCATTCTCTCCCTGGTCATCGTAGTTCGGTTGCGAACCGTCAGCCATGCTAAAGGAAAATATGTGCAAATTGGCATCATGGGATACTTGGCCTCGTTTTGAAATAATTCTTGAATGATAAAAATAGACAGGGAAACCCCTCTTAAGATCTCCCAAAACATAGAAAGAACTGCCTCGTTTTATACGCGGAAATCGTTTTCATGACTATATATGGATATTTTCCCATTTATCGTTTTAATTTTTCAATGATCTTTGTCAAATCAAAGTGACAATTCAGAGTCACATGCTTGTGTTCACGTCACGTGATAAAGGTATCTCTTGGGTTGATTCAGGTCATTCATATCACTTCTTGCTTTGTGGCGTTTAGTTGAGGTTTGTTCTTCTGACTCTCTTGCTTTCCAAAATGTCAGTGCCAGGCGGTGCCAGTGAGGTTAAAGATGCTGATGCTGATATTCAAAAAATAGTCGATGGTGTAAGTATTAACCGTGTTTACGTTCTTTTTTCCACAGTTAAATTTGCCAAGATGAGGGACTTGACTCACATGTAAATAAGTTTTCTTTTGTTAGTGTTAAAAGTTGTATAGGGTTTATAAATATGTATGAAAGTTTGATAATACACTTGCAGTACAGATCTAAGCACATTCATTAGTATCCAATGCATAGTTTTGCACTAAATTTCACGTTGGAAATTCTAGAAATGTGCACTTTTAATGTGCACATTAATTTCTATTGCCAAAATGTAACTGGCGCCATTTTCATTGAAACTTGAAAGATTCGTTCCACTTTCCACACGACAGAACTTTTGTCATGTGTGGGTGAATCATCATTCATTAGATATGGAAAAAGAACTTACTTTGCATATTCCACACCACACATTTCAGATCAGCTTGTAATTTACATTTTCAAGGGTGCAGGGAGGGGCACAATATACAACCATATTTTTAAAACATAAAAAATCAACTAGAACTTGATATTATAACATTTTAATTAATCGATACTTATCTTTGTAAGTAGCAGTCACACTGTGCATATGTTATATCTTATTAGGTGAAAGCAGAACTAGAAGGGAAAGTTGGAAAGAACTTTACAGAGTGTAAAGCCATTTCCTATAGATCTCAAGTAGTTGCTGGTACAAACTATTTTGTCAAGGTAAGCTGAATTAATTAAAAATGTTTTGTGATTTTTAATTTTGAATTAGACTTTTGACTTAATGTATATCACTTTTATCTAAGGTGCTGATGATAATTTGTGTCAGTTAAAACAATAAAATGTATGTACTGTTATTCAATTAATTTTCCAACTTAGAAATATGATGTCAAAATACTTATGGTGATTTGCTTTTGCTCTTAAAAATGAAAAGGATAATTTCTGACTGTTTGGACTCCAATTTTAGACTTTCTAAAGCTAGCATCAGACTAAAAAAGTTCATTCTAAAAGGAGTTCAGATATTGAAAACTACTAATATCATCATGGTTATCTTTAGTCAGAAGGCATATCTGAGAAATCCAAAGCATTGTTATTGTAACCTACTTAAGATTATGCTCCTCAAAAGACAATTACAGTAGTATTGTATTGTTTCATTGAACTTTGTTCTGCATAAGATTAACTGATGACTGTAGTATCTCTACTTATAACTTAATCTATTGTTATTAAATTTTTGTTTTTGTACATTATTTGCAAAGACATAATATTTCTGTATAACAACAGTCCTGTTTTTAGAAAGAGGAATCAAATACTTATAACAAGAACAAAAATACATTTTATTTTAGGTTCAGGTGGGAGATGAATACATCCACGTGCGCATCTTTGTGCCTCTCCCCCACACTGGGGAGGCTCCCAGCGTTCACAGTTTTCAAGCTGGGAAAAGTGCTGCAGATCCCATAGAGTACTTCTAGGTTCAAAGAGGCTCTCTGGATTACATAGTACATAGAATCAGTACAATGAAGCATAAATATATAGCTGAAATAAAAACAGTGCTTTCATAGGATGTCTTAGAATACTTCTAGGCTCATTAATAGGTTACTAAATATATATTTATTCAGATATAATTATATATGTAAATGTTAATACAGATAAGCATAGCTCAATAGCTAAAACAAAAACAGGGCTTTCATAAGATGCATAGAATAATTGTCTCTCTCAATTATATATATATATATATATATATATATATATATATATATATAATAAGAAAGGCCACAATTCTAGGGCATTGATACAAATAGTCTAAACTCAATAGCTGAAGCAACAATTACAGGGTATGTGAAGACTTTAAATTAGATTTCTTGATAACAGGGTTTCATCGTTTTGATCACATCTCTGAGGTTCTTCTAGATCTATAAATGAAAAGAGACTGCACTGGTATATTTATACATCTCTATCTAATACTCATTTTAGAAATGATGATGGCGATATTTTTGAAAAGATTGTAAAATGTAGTGCTGCATCAACAACATGATGTAGCCATTTTGTGCAAATCTAGTCCTTGAGATAAGATGAAATCACTGAGGATGTCAAGTGATGTAACAATAGTCACAAGGTCATAAGTGTTGATTTTTCAACCATTGTATCATGATATGAAAAGATAATATTAAGTTTTATTTGATTGAAGTCCTCTTTGCAAGCTCATTTACATATATTTGCATTGTTTTAAACCATTCAACTTTGAACACAAGTTATCTGTTTGTCAACGGAAATAAACAATATTGAACTGTATATCATTTGACATGTTATCTTGTTTCTGTTATATGGTATCTGTTAAAAATTCTAATTTAAGAGTTTGAATCTAAAATGAGATTAGGCCAGTCATTATATTTATATAGAAGATAAAACAGTTATTCAATATTGTCAAAATGCTCTTTTATAAACCAATGAAAATAAAATCGGTGCCGTAAATGAAGGAACTCCAAAGAAGGTATTTCAAAAAGTGCTTGTTGCCATGCATAAGGACAAAAGAATTGTAGTTCCCACCACTGAACAATAAGTGTGCTGTTCTTTTAAGCATTGTGTTCTTCAAAACTTAAGGTATGAAATACTGTAACAATGGTAGCAAGATGTATGTTTACCTATTATATGAGAAAGCACATACTTTGATTATTCCATTTGTTTAGTTCTTACTTTGAATTCCATAACAAGAAAAGGCAGCAATTCAATAAATGATGAAAAATTTTATTTCTTTTTGTTCTTGTTATTTCAGAGATCTTCCATGCAGTTTGTAAATGTATGCATAACTGGAAAATATGTGAAAAATGCACATTCCAGTAATTGACATTTATCGCTTCATTTTGATTCCAGAATCATTTACTGTACATGGCTGGTATATGTCAGTCAATGTTCTATAGTCATTGACAAATGGAAACTCTCTTGGTAATTTCAAATGCAAATAGCTAATGAAACTGTTCAATAGAATCATTTATACAGAAAATGAATACAGAAAAAGTTGCGTTCTCTATTGATTTTCAAGAAAAAAGACGTGCATGCACATTCACTTTAAATATTTGCTGTATTTGTTACACAATATTTCTTATATTATTGAAGACTTATTTTAAAATATACTGGATTTCTTAATTAACCTTCATCAACCTGCCTTCCACATTCAAAACATAAACTGTCATTCTTTGTTGTCACAAGACATAACTAATCTTTAAAGAATCTGAAAATTATCTTTTGCAGAGACAATCATAATATCAAAAGGTATCCCAATGTATTATTGTTAATTTGCATTTAACAGATTAGGTGCAAGTATGCTGTAAATGTCAAATAATGATGTGTTGGCAGTCCAACTCAAGACAATGACAAAAAAGGTTCCTGGTTGTATATACTAAAGGTCTTTTATATCAAATGAACCAAATAATTCCAATCATCCGATTTCTATAGTTGGCTATAAGTAATTTAAATAATAAGATTACGCCCAGGTTAATATGCTCTAAATGCATATTTTTTACTATTAAAAAAGTGATTCATAGGAATGACTCATCATGCTATGTTCTACAATAATTTGAAAATAAAAATGGATACAAAAGCTAGTATGGCAGTGTCCTGTGGTTGCATTTTAATTATCATATTTCCAATTGGCTTTCTCTAATCCACAAAAACAAACCAATATAATATATGTATCTATATATAAAATACCTCAAATTTTCTTTCATGGTCTTTACCAATAAGGCTACCAAAATATTTTTGCATGCAAAATTATACTATTCAAAATAATTATTTACTCAAAATTATTTACCTCAAATTTGGCATGCATAAAATATATAAATTTAAATATTTTTTTCCAAACAAAATGATAATATTAAAAATTATTTACTCAAAATTTGTAATTCTAAAAAGGACATGCATAAAATATAGAAACTAGAATTCAAATCCAGGTTATTTTCCATGCTTGGCAAGTCTATCTACAACAGCTGCAACAAGTCCGGCTCCCTTTCCACTGCCATCGTCTACAAGGATCAGTTTCACCTGTAATAATATGCAATAAAATATTTAACAAACTGCCAATTTGTCCAATTTGCATGTTTCAGCAGTTACCAAATAGGTTGTCTTGTTTGCCTCCTAAATCCTTTTCCTTAATATAATACCTTTTATCCCCTACCCATATAACACTCCATTAGTAAATTTGTGTAAAATGCTAACAAACTGAAACAGGAAGTTAAAACATTTTTCAAATTTAAAAAAAAAAATCAAAACACATTTCACAGGCTGTAGGTTGCTAGATTCTTCCTAAAACAACAACATCTGACCATTTTTTGTAGGGTTTTTTTGAAAATTTAAGATATGTCTCCCCACCTTGGTTTCTGGTGCAAATTTTTCAATGTTCTGCATCAAGAAATCATGAAGCCTAGGATGATACTGGTAGAGGGAGCCATCTACAGCCACCGTCACCTCTGGTCTCTTCATTCTATTGCACAATGCTGCCAAAGCTGGACAAAGAAATGTTATTACAAATTTAGAATATTGTATTTTTTAATTTGAAATGAAAGGATGAGAATAAATCTCAGGGGAGATTCTTCTCTTCTTTAAAAGTTTATAATTAGTTCTTTATTAGTTTGATAATGTCCCAGAGTAAAAATTTATATCTTATTATCCTATAAAGTTACTCATATTTTCAACCCATTTCTTAAAATGATAAAACACTCATGTAAACATTTTCCCCTGAATTAACAGGAAGACTATGGCAGTATAAAAAATTGTGAAGAATTAAGTTTTTTAATCAGAAATAGAATAAAACATTGAATCCAAGTGCAAGATCTCGTTGAGCAACAGATTTCGAGTTGAAGAAAATCTGTAAAGGATGCCTTTAATTTTCATCAATCTTTGATCTTTTTTTATTCTCATAATGATATTTAAAATTTCTTCCCATGCTGGCACTATGACTTTCTATCAATGCTGGTAACAAAAACTTTTCTTTCCATGCTGGTAATCATAACTTTATTTTAGCTCTATCTAATTAAAAGAAATAAGAAATTTTAATTTATCACAGTGGTTACTCACCTCCTCCAACCAGCTGGCCAGCTCTTATGGATATCACTTCACACACATATTTGACCACACTGATGTCAAACTCTGTGGCTTCACCCTTAAGGCCCATCTCCTCTATTACTTTCAGTGTCCTCTCACTTTTACCCTCTTTATTGTCTCTGGTGACAAAAATAAAAAAAAATTCAATCTCCATATGAAAAATATTTGGTATAATTTGGATAACCTTACACATAGCACAAATATATCCTTGGTGGGCATTACTACATGTAGTTTGCAATTATTATAGAACAATATAATTCTAAAAACTTAAAACCCTTAATTGTACCTGGTACCCCCCCCCCCCTAAAAAATAAGAATCTTGCTTTAGGTTAGTTCAGAGTGCATGTTGGCCCATTCTACATAACCCTTGTTAAAACAAAATTCTAATCACCATAATTTTTCAAATTTACTGTTGTGAAATAAACACTTCAATAGAAATAAAAATTGTAAATAAAACTTTGATCCTTTGGGGCATTTCGATCCTTTCGCGAATTTCAATGTTACTGGAGACGTTCTTAGTTACAATGCAACACTAAGATATAATATAAGATCTTAAAACAGTTTACCAAACAGATGAACTTATTTCCACTTACTTTTCTATCTTTGTTGCATGAGTTGTGGTTAACGAATTCCGTGTGCCTAGCGTTTCAGACACTTTGCCATTAAATATCAGACCTTCTCGCGTTAGATGCAGCAGTATGAGGCGTACAGTTTCACCCATGTACATACCTGCAAAGTATTTTTCAAAGCTGCAAACAGAACGAAAACAATCAGCTACAACAAACATAGAATATAATGTATACAACATAAATAGCTGGGAACTATGTGCATCATATGCAAAATTAAAATCAAATCACAAATTAAAAAGGCACTGGCAATGTAAGAGTACCACTGTTATCTTTGGGTTTATCATTGAATTTTAAGATAAAAATATTTGATCAGTTACAGCAGGAACTAACCATCAACATTGTAGTCTGTTTAAAACAAATCCCAATCATTTTATAGAGGCAAAAATATTCTCCAAAAAGATTTAATTTTTCTTATAAATATGACAAATTTTTGTTCACTTACGTGAAAGAACCAACATGGTTTGAATATTTATCAACTTCTCTATCATAGTCTGTCTTGATGAAATCTATACAACCATTGTCTCCAAATGCTCCCCATTCTATATCAATAACAACCTGGGAGAAAAAACTACATAGATAACAAAAACATATACTACTGAAAGTAAACATAAATAAATTTTGATTGTGTGTTACCAAATGTTTTTTAAAATTGTGTATCTAGTATCTAGATGTTTGTTTTTACCTTAATATTGTTCAAGATTTGGTGACTGAAAATAATGAGACAAGAAAAACAAAGTTCCGACAGAAATAAGTAATGCTACCTCTTTTGGTTCCTCAACTGGTAAATTCCATTTGTCTATATTTTCAATGTGTTCTAAATAGCTTGCATTGCACCCAGTTCCTAGAATATCCATATTTAATTTTTGAAGTAAAAATTGCAAAGATAAATAAATAAATAAATAGATAAATTAATTTTTTAAATAATCATCCACCACATACTTTAATATAATGTTTTATAAAAATATAAGATCTTTATGATTTCACTGTACACAAGTGAAGAGACTATTGATACAAAATGTTTACACAAAAGTTCAATAATATTTCATTTAGATATGAGAAAACCTACCTAATATGACCCCAATATAACACTTATGGTCCGCATAAGCTCCTGCCATGATGGTTCCTGTTGTGTCATTTAATATAGCTGCCAACTCTACATCTTTAAGCTCCTGTGGAAAAAAGTTGTACTAGAGCTTATTTTGAAATAAAAAACACCATTTACAAGACACTTCAATATAATTTTCACTATGACCCCTTAATTGTACAAAAGTACAAGATAATATATCACTGGGAATAAAAGAAAGGCAATATACTGAGCAGCAAGAACTACAAATTCATTTGTTCCTGCATTCATCCAACTAAAATGCTTACAAACATACATGTTTTGAACAGGGCAGCACAAATAACATCCCAGGAGAGTAAAATAATATTACAAAAAACTCAAATGTTCACAAATGTTCAAGCCACATATGAAGAGATACAGTAATAGATACTACCAGATCAACCTACCTCTCTCTTTGCCATTGCTGCCTCCAAAGCTGCCCCTGCATCGTCCCCAACGCCATCTTTGCACCTGAAGCTCTTGGTCCATGTGATTAAAATACCACTTTTCAGTCCCTTCTGAGTCATTGGGAAAGAAAAGGTGAAACCTGGAAAGAAAGCATAAAAAGTCCAATCTTAATATTTTGGTGTTTTTTACTCTACTGACTGACATTTGACATCATGATTTTCCGAGGAAGCAGCCTGACCATTAAAAATTTTGTAGCCTTTAATAAATTTCTTAGGGTTAAACCACCCCGAGTTTCAAAGAACACTGGAAATTTACCTGTATGAATGCTGGAAGCACAGAAGAGTTTCCAGTGCCCTGTGACACTCAGGGTAAGGTATGTAGGCTCCAGATATGATGTGAAATTTGATTGCAATATATTTCCAAGATTACCTTCAATGCATTCAAACTTTTAAGCTAGACTACTTGGTTAATTTCTGTATAACTATATCTAAACCTAAATAAAAATAAAAAGAAGGCAAGTGACACTCTACAAACCTAATGGTAGCTTTTTCCCCTTCAAGTTCTCTTCCTCTAAAAAGACACAAATGCTGTCAGCAATGTATTCATACACATCTTTAGATGGTCCGCACAGAGTTTCCTCAGGTATTCTCACTTCCTTGCAGTAATCTCTGGTGATGAGGCCTTTCTTCATTTGAAGATGGATCACTCTAAAATTGGTACCTCCAAGGTCAAGTGCTAAATAGTCTCCATCCTCTGTAATTATATATAAATCAGATTATGTGATACTGGAGTACTAAGTTTAGTTTGATGTCCTCCAAATGATTTATGCATTATAAAAATGTTTTCAGTGTGTTGTAATTTCTTTTTTAAATGTTAGGGGAGGGGAAGACAGACACCATAAATCAGAAAAAAAAACACAATGACTTCTTAGTAGAAAAAGTATCTTTGCTCTTCACAGCCTGTTGTACAATTCTTTATGTTTTTATTCACCTGTTCCATCACACAGGGCTCTGACATAAGTGTTTTCACAAAGACAACTACTTTGTTTCCTCTTCTGTGGATCTTTATTCATTGCCAGGTCCATCTCAGAATCCAAGGTATCCATGACTTTTTTCACAGTCTCGTCAGGCAGTCGCAATGGGGCCGTGATCTCCAAAATCTTTTATATAAAAGAAAAAGGTTGCGATCAAAATATTGATAAAATATACACTTACATAACATTGTCCTAGATCATTTTAAATAGACATGATTCTTTGTAATTAGATTGGTTATGGAAATGCTGTGTCTCTGTTATTATACCGTTTTGACATTTTGTCAATATCTATTGTGATGGCATAGAACAAATAAGTTTGTTAAAAATAATCTTGAGTATTTCTCATTTCAGTACCTTAATTACGTAAGTCATTTTAACTCGGACAGATGCAAATTCTAGGAATTATAAAACTTACAGAACTCTGCAATGTGGGATATAATGAAACAAAAGCCTTACCCTCTGTTTCTTTTCTGAGTCTTCCACATTCAGCTTTGGACATTTTGGGTTCGTTGCCATGATAAAAATCTTCCAATCTTCCAAGTTAAGACCTAAATAGAAAATCAGAGTTCAGATGATTTTCAAAGCCCACATTTTCAATTAAAAAAAAAAAAAATGATCATACATTGCAATCAATACTTTGTTGATGACCTTCTTTTAGGCACACTTCAGTTTTCAGTTTTGGTTTTTCTTTTTTTATGATTTGTTTTAATGAGTAATTATGCAGGCCCGTAGCCAGGGGGGGTTCGGGGGGTTCGAAAGAACCGCCCTTTTTGCTGAGAAAAGGTCCACTCTGGGTAAAAATTGATCTAGGTGCATGAAGTTTTTATAGAAAAAGGTCCACTTTTTCAGAAAAAGAACCCCCCTTTTGAAATTGCTGGCTACGGGCCTGTTATGTGTAATTTTCAATAGCAATAAAATTACTTTACACATTCATCCCTCCATTCACACTCCTCAAGCCTGTAATCAGTAATTTCAAAGGGGGTCTTTTTTTCTGGCAAAAAGGGCAGTTCATTCAAATCCCATGAACCCTCCTGACTAAGGCTTCGTTCACATGCAATGTCTATTTTCTATTTTCTATTTTCGGTATGTCTTATGATCACGCTCTGTGCCCTGAATATCCCGCGGCGTAATTACTGGGTTTCCATGTTATGGATGAACTTACCGGGCTTATTTGTTGTTCTGATAAGAATTTTCCCATTTTCTTGAAAAACTGTCTTTGCTGTTTCAAAGGCACGTATATTAGTTCAGACCTTTCCTTAAATTAGTTTTGAGACTCAAAAGAGGGATAAACGGTAAGTACGAACATGTTTACTAGCATAACTTATCACAGAGACCTGACAAATTTTTTAGTTTATTATTTCCCACCTTAATCCCCAAAACTGAATTTATTCAAGTATACATGCACAACTGATAGAACTGTATACACAATAAAATGATAAATTCTATAGATTCTCATTAAGTATACAAGAAATCTGATATCATCATTCTGGGGTGATAAAAGTCAGCAATATGAGTTTTGGAAATAAATGGAAATGAATAATGTAAAAATTGAGCCACGACTATAATCCCCCCCACCACCACCACACACACACACACACACACACACACACACTCCTTCACCACATGCACACACAGTCAGGACAAAGTTTATCAAGTAACGTGGCAGATGGCATCGTGCAGTGCATTCACGAATTTAATCATGAAATAATCATGCCACAAAAAGGCCTCAAATGAAAAAAAATACGTATAAGCTTTACCTGATCAATTCACACTTGATATGTTCCTGGAGTCCAATGGAAAAGTTCTGACCTCTCCACACCTCCACTGTTTAGCGGGTAATTAGGTCAACACACCGGCCTAATAATATTTTCCCCAAAGATGGCGCTACACGATACGCCATATCTAATTTGATCAAAACGTATTGTTTAACCATTTTGATCACATTGTAATAGTAAAAAATAAATATTCATTTCTTTTATTATTATCATCTACACATGTTGGTATTGGATATTAGTGAAATATTGAACAAATAATATCATTTTTACAGCAAGTGTGTTGGTCGTGTCTTGAAATAGCGCTTACGAATCTCCAGCGAAAATAAGCATGCACGCCAAACCTCCGTTCATGTGTACCTTTGACTTGGGGTAACTTTCTTTAGGTTTGCCTGCATGATAAGAAGACAAATTAAACATGGAGAGTTGGGAAGAAATGATGAAGCTGGACAAGGAGAAGCTGGCGCAACCTGTAGCTTCTATAGAGGTAAATTTGTGAATGCTGTGCTGAGTATATGTCTGCTCTCTCTGACTTCGCTCAGCAGAAACATATCTGTTCTTGCATTGCGTTGCGTCAGGCAGTGCAGCTTAAAAAATGCATGTGCTATTAACCTTCATTAATTTCTTTAATATTTTCATCATATCCGTGAATGTTAATTCCTTGTTTACTTAATTAAACATTGCACTTCTCAAAAGAGATCAATATTTCTTTATTTGAAATTTTATTATTATTATTATTATTATGTCACATTGGTTTATATTTATCAATAAACACTGGCAGATTGTTGGAAGTACTGTATGTAGTTTATTTTTATGAAAATACAAAACATATCTCATTCCAAGACATGTAAGAGTTTAGGTCTTTCTAAAAGCATGGTGATGAACAACTGATATCTCTCGCATACTGGTACAAAACCAGCTTATCACCACTAAAGCAATTTGCCTGTCACATACTCTCCCACACCTCTTTTCCATGTTAGCAATTTCATGCAGATTTTTGATGATAAAACTTTCAAAGCTACAGCCTTGATCACTGTGCAACCTGGCTGGGAAGCCAAAAATGAACAACAAGATTCTCAAATATTGCTTTTGCAGTAGTTTTTGCAGTTTGGTTTGTAGTGGACACCACCAGGGCATACCTGGTAAAATGATCAGTCATCATTAAAATACTATTAAAACCACCCTTTGATAGTTCCAGTAGTCAATACAAACTAACTCCATGTATTGTGTCATTTGAACATTCACAAGTGATATAGCAGGTACTGAGGCTGGACTTTTTCTCTTTACACATTGATTCCAAGTTTTTGTTTTTTCTGCCACATCCTTTGCCATATTTGGCTAGAAAAACAATTTTCTTACCAATGCCATAATGCAATCACTGCCAAGATGAGCCATTTTGTGGCAAAGGATTTCTAGGACAGAGTTTTGGTTTTCTTTAGGAAGGACAAGCTGAAACTAGATGGTGTCGATGGGTAGCCATTGCATATCCCCGCACTTCCCCATATTATCAAGAGCAGCTCACCCCTAGGGACCACTTACCACACACCCACTTCTTTATTTCTCATTATAATAAATAAACAATTTAAAAATATTAAACTGTCACATACTTACGTACCAGTTCTGAAATGGAATCTGAAATAAACTACTTTAATTTAGTGACTGTGCTTCATAAGTAAATAGTGTTTGATTGTCAAACAAAATTAGACAAAATGCCACAAACATATCGAAGATATATCTGTGTGATCCTTAGTCCTTTTAAAGACAGCCAACTACAGGAAATTGCTGACTTGACTAGTGACCAAGTTCATACTGATTTTTCTCTTCAAAAATTCCGATGGTTGAGCACATTTGGCCTAGTGCATCATATTTTTGTGTTGCACCATCTTTCTCTTGGGAAAGTTGAGAGACCTTTCTTTCTAGTTCATCAATACGCTGTAGGAGGGAATCTGTACTCTGCTTTATAAGGCACCTAGACTTCATCAGCAATGCATTTGTCTTCCTTCTAGTAGTCTTCACTTCTTCTACACCTTGATGCTTGTTGTTTTCAACCTGCAGCAGATAAAGTGAACTGCGGGTGTGCGTTTCCATTGTAGATATTGCCTCCTCGAGGGTTTGCAGACCTCTTCTCACCTCTTCTTTTTGGTGTTTAACACTTAACTTCTTGGCTTCCATTATCTGTAATTTACTTTAACTTAAACAAAATGCGGAATGCTAAGTCAGCTATCAAGTCAAACAAAACAGGAATATAAAATGATGCAAGTTGTACTTACTATATACACCCTGCGTAACTTAGGCTAGAAGGATAGTGCCTTTGTGTGATAGATGGTAGCCATCTGGAGCTAAAAGGTGTTTTTGTATCATGCCTCTTCTTAAAAAGTTACCATTGTCACAATAGTGTAGGTTGGCAATGCCTTAGGCTAGGGTATCGTGTCTGATTATAGCGTTGCAAATTTCTGTGCTTGTGTTTAAATTGTGGTCATCTGTTCTTGGAGTACCCAGTGATACAATAACATTGGTGTCAGGGTTGGTCTTGGTATAGGTGGTTGCTGTTTGTACTAGCATGTTTCCTACCGCTGCAGGGGAGTTGTTGTTAATGTCATTGGTGATTTCATGTATCACTAGTGCACTGGGCTTGTGATCCAGATTTTGTAACAGCATATCTGCCTCAGGGATTGTATATGCTGGTGTGATACTTACTTCTTCTGCCCAGGGTACTAGGCGTTTCCCCTGGATATGTTTTGTATGAGAGTTACCGATCACATTAACATTAACTTTGGTTGATTGTTGCAGAATGGGTTTGTCTTTTGGTTTCTGCGAATAAGATCTTTCCGAGTTTCTAGAGTTCTGTTTTGGTGAATTTTGCTGTTTTGTGTAGGATGTAGTTTGAGGAGTACTCAAAGAGATCCTAGCGGAACGTGCAGGTATATGAGAGTGAGGAACACGTTGAGAGGTGCTCTGAGCTGGCTCTGGCGTACCCTCTGTTGTATCATCATCCCTGATGATGGGTCTGATGGTCTAGTAGGAGATAGTAGAAATTACAATGTTATAAGAATTTATAATCAACCATCCCCCGGGACAGCCCAACCCCCTGTGGCACTAAAATTCCAAAATGCCCATGCACATCCCTGATGACGGATCTTCCAATTCCCATATTTTCTATTTCCTATCTCTAACGGTCTAGGAGGAGATAGCAGAAATTAGTGTCATAAGAATTTTGAATTACTACCCCTCAGGGACAGCCCAACCCCCTGTTGCACTAAAATTCCAATGTGCCCATGCACATCCCTGAAGATAGGTCTACCAATTCCTAAAGTTTCAACTTCCTACCTTCAATAGTTTAGGAGGAGATAGCGGAAATTACTAACACGGACGCACAGACGCACGGACGGGCGGGATAACATGATCCCCAACTTTTGTCCCAAAAGTGCGGGGATAAAAACATTTTGTCACCATCAAACCTTTTTCTGTACAGCACCCCGTGTCTCAAAATCAGGTGGTTCTGTTCAAAAATCGGAAGTTTTACGTCCCTACTCCCACCTGCCAGTTCTTTCATTGACAGCTTTTAATTGCTAAGTAAAAACTCTCTGACATTTAAAATATCCCTGTCTTACTTCTAGACAGATTCCCAATAAATTTCACCTAATCAGGTGCCGCCTTCACAGGTGTCTCATTCATCCAGGCATGTTTTCTTCCAATTCTTAATGATCTTCTTGAAATGGGGATTTTTTTCACTACTCTGTTCAGCATTTACAGTATCATTACTCTCAGGCATTCTGTCACTTTCTTCCTCGAATGATACATCATCCTGACAAAAGTCTACAACATCTTCTTTCAGTGCTAGGTTTTCTCAAATCGTGAATTTTTATTATGTAGTTTGATCTGCTAAATCGTCTGAAATAAGAAGAACATCAGTATGAACAGTCTCACCACAAGGAATTGGAGACTTGCCATCAGCATCTTTGTTGTTCATACTGCTCCTGTAAGATTTAAAAATCATAGTTTTCCAGATCTGCAAGCCATCTGTGACCTGTAGCATCTAATTTCTCAGTGTGTTTTTAATTAACTCTCACTTGATGCTGAGACTAATATTAAATCTTTATTGGTTTAATAGATGTGCATCAGAATAACCAATATACAATAGTTGCAGGCCATTTGCACATTGCTCAGTAAGCATGGGCGCAACAGGGTACCGTTCATTGTCATTGTGGTGTAAAAAGTGTTTGAAAAATGACACTGAAATGATTGACACCATTGAACCTGTATCCCACTATGCCTGACATATGTTATTTTACATTATTATTTTTTAAATACAATTTGTGAAGAATTGTAAACATACTCTGGTTTAGTTCACATGGTTTTTCATAAAAGGTTAACTGCAGTATAAGAAAACTTATCTGGTTTTAATTCTTGTACTGCAGTTTACTCATTTCTTTTACAGGAAAAATGGAAGCTACTCCCAGCATTCCTAAAAGTAAAAGGCCTGGTTAAACAGCATATTGACTCCTTCAACTATTTTGTCAATGTAGAGGTGAGATATTTTAAACTGCATTATATTTAAAGGGTATCATTTAATGTCTTTATTTCCAAGTGTTTTAAAATGTACAATATTGGAAAAATCATTACGATATCAGATGTTAAGTGTTACCATGGTAATGATAATACTATGCTTGCGTTTCATGCACTTTATGAAAAATAATTTCAAACTGAATGTATACACTTTTTCTTCAGATTAAAAATATACTGAAAGCAAATGAGAAAATTACAAGTGATGCAGATCCAACTTTCTACATGAAGTAAGTTTAGAACCTAACTGGGATATTTTATTAGCAAGTCAAATTTTTTGTATTTTATCTGAATTCATGTCATTAATACAATGAATACATGATATTAATTTTTGTTAGCTGAAAACTGAAGTACATGGTTTAGTGATATTGTAATCTGTATTATTTACCTAGCTTTCTATAATTGTGTCAATAAACGTGACATTTTACAGATATTTGAACATCTATATTGGAATGCCAGATGCTGAGGAGGGGTACCAAATTGCAAAGACCATATCACCACATGAGGTATGTATTAGTATTCCACTTTGTTTTATATTCTTCAGTAGGTCAACATTTTTAAGCCCTGTTTTTAGATTTTATTTCATGTATTTCATCAGTTCAATATCTGTTTTGCTTTGAGTAAGATGGTTGTAAAAACCATTTTATTACTATTTATTTATATTTAATTTATTTATCTCCATATGAAATTATGTTCATTGGTTTTTAAATTGTTTCATTCATTCATTATTTATTTATATATTTTAGTGTCGCCTCAGAGACATGACATATTCTGCCCCTATCACAGTGGATGTAGAATATACTAGAGGGAGCCAGAGGATTGTCAGGAATAATCTACCAATTGGAAGGTACTGTAACTGTAACATTTTAATTGCAGTTCTGTTATAAAAGGTGTTTACGTTATATTCAATATCCAAAGAATTGTTGGTTTATTTTTAGCTGTGAGGCTTAAATAAAGTAACTTGATTGGAAATATTTTTATAAGTAATTTTTTTTAACAAACTAACATGATACCAATAACTGAGTGCCTATAGTCACTCTAATAATGTGGTGCTTGGTGCTGATTTGGGTTATGTTTAAAATGATTCACTTGAGAATATTTTTGATAAATTCTAGGATGCCTATAATGTTGAGGAGTTCTAACTGTGTGCTTACTGGTAAAACCCCAGCTGAACTTGCCAAGTTGAATGAATGTCCTCTTGATCCTGGGGGCTACTTTGTGGTCAAGGGGACAGAGAAGGTCATTCTTATACAGGAACAGCTGTCCAAAAATAGAATGATTGTTGAACAGGATAAAAAGGGGAATGTTGGGTGTTCAGTCACAAGGTAAATAAGGGCTCAACTTATTATTTTTAGTACTCATATTATAATTTGGCTAAATTTGGTTTGATTTTTTTTTATCCAAGAGTGAGCCTAGGAAAGAAATAGATAATTTAAAGTGTTTTGCATTCTTTTGTATAAATTTGTATAAATTGCATGCAGAGTATTTGTTTTTGTCATTTATAATGTGATTTTCCATACCAGTCATTCAGATATTTTGATATATTCTCTGATATAGCTCAACCCATGAACGGAAGAGTAAAACATATGTCATTCAGAAGAAGGGAAAGTATTACTTGAAACATAATACATTTGCAGAAGTGAGTTCAAAACTTTCATGATTGATCACCCTCTGAAATGTCAGATAAGATAAGAACTGTTTTTGGATACATTTGATCTATCATATATTCATCAGTAAAGTAAAATCATTCATATATCATATTTTATATTATATCAGAAAATATGATTTTTGTTTGGCAAGCTAGTAGTTTACCTTTTAATGATAGTACTTGAGAATTTATCATTGCCTAACAGAAATCCCCAGGCATTACGAAATTTTTAATTTGAAGAAATTAATTTTTAATTTAGGACATTCCAATAGCCGTAGTGTTCAAGGCCATGGGTGTCCAGTCAGACCAGGAGATAGTCCAGATCATAGGCAGTGAGGAAGAGGTCCTGGCAGCCATAGCACCTTGTCTGGAGGAATGCCACAGGGCACAAGTATTTACCCAGAACCAGGTGGGTTTATTTACGAACTGTCATTTTCCCTAAATGATGATGAATTTGAGAATGGACTCCGAGACAATTTTGACTCAAATCCAGACTACTAATGGATCATAGCGTTTTTATCTCTAAACTTTTATCTCTTCAGCTTAGTTCAATTAATTAACGTATTTAATGACAACTGATCTACAAAGTTCCTACGAATAGATGTGTGTATGATACTTTCTTCATTGGTGAATACACGTTTTGCAGGCTTTAAAGTACATAGGTAACAAACTAAGACAGAGAAGACTGATGTGGGGCAGTGCCAAGAAGACAAAGCTGGAGGAGGCTAGAGAGTTACTGCAGGGGATTGTGCTAGCCCATGTGCCTGTGAGTAGTCAAATTTGATTCATGTAGTTATGATGTCAGATAGGGAAATATATTAATTTTGTGGGAAACTCATTTGAAAGAGGAGTTAGAAGCACATGCCTTCCTCAAGTTCAAATCCTTGTTAATGGTTTTAAAATGAAGTTTTGATAGGCCAGAACTTTTGAAAATAATAAGACTTAAATTTGATCTTTAATATGAATGTCCTTGGCATTTACCCTTTCAAAATAAAATAGAAAATGTTTCCATAGTGTTAAAATTTGATTAAGTCAGATTTATTCCAAGAAATGATTTTAAAATAGCATCTCTTGTACATTTGTTGTTAAATGACCCAGATTATGTTGTCTATTTAGGTTGAACAGTGGAACTTCAAGATCAAGTCAGCATATCTTGGGTTGATGGTGCGGAGGGTTATCTTGGCTCAGGGGGACTCTGTAAAGGTTGATGACAGGGATTACTATGGTAACAAAAGGTTGGAGCTGGCAGGACAACTGTTGTCTCTTCTGTTTGAAGACTTGTTCAAGAAGTTTAATGCTGAGGTGAGGATTAATAGTTTTTCCTCTGTGTGCACAGTGCACCACTATTTTAAACTTTTTTCACTGAATTTTTTTTAAATTAGTGAAGTATAACTGTAACCAGGAAAGGCAAGGCATAATCTTACAGTTATACAACCTATAGCCATTTGACACTTCTTGATATATTTTATTCTTCCTTAAATACTTTTTACTACATTTATGTGTTTATTCTATTACATTTTCCAATTCCAATTTATGAAAGAACTTTCCATTTTAGTTGAAGAAAATAGCAGACCAAACCATTCCTAAGCCACGAGTTGCTCAGTTTGACATTGTGAAACACATGAGGCAGGACCAGATCACCAATGGGCTTGTTCATGCTATATCTACTGTAAGTTAACAATGACTCAAGTGTTGGTAAAGAGTAAAGGTTTTTAAATTTATGGAAATATCTTTCATTTTCTAATGTCATTCAGTAAATACAAGGTTGGTTTTCTTCTACCTGGCTAACAAGGGGTTGACAATACAGACAGTTTAAGGATAAAATCAAAGATTAATTGATCTTTATCGGTGCAGGTTATACTGATTTTTAATTTTCAATTTTATGGATTGTAAATGAAAACTTTTTCTGGTCAAATTGGTGTTGATTTTTTATGTACAGACACAGATGTGTCTGTACATATTGCCATCACCTGCGTCTGTCGTCGCCGTCGCCGTCGCCGTCGCCGTCGCCGATCATGTCGCCGTGCACTTTCAGCGTTACACCATAAGTGGAAGACAGTTTTGCTTTTTGGCTTTATATTTACAGAGCTGATGAACTTTCATAAAACACAGGTCAAGTTCGAAAAGCAGCATGATCGGGCCATTATTGTAGAATTNGATACGTATATTTTATTATTAAAAACTGATGGTCTTTATGCTGTTAAGCATTATGAAATATTGCATCAAAATAGAAGAAAACACAATTTTGGGTATTGCTGCCATGATGACCATCATGGGAAAACCATATTACTTATAATTGTCAAACTTTTAAAAAAGAAACACAGGACTAAAATGCAGCTCGAGTTGGAAAAGCAGTCTAATTGACTTCTTTTTCTGGAAGTTTTACATTTTCAAAGTGTGAACTTGAACTCCCATGGGCCTGAAGCCTTATGCTTGTTACACATTTTACTTACATTGGTATTACCTGTTGAGCATAATTAAAATTTGATGTTGAATTTGCAGTTTAACATAATGTACTTTTGCATCAGAATTGACAGTAGCCTATTTTGTTATTTCCTGCTTTTTGTCTGTACATTTGACAGCTTTGCTGCCTTGTTCATGTATGAAAAGGGTATGATACAATTTTCTTCAAATATATCAAACCAGATTATATATTGTGAAATGCTACTTCATGCTAATTTTGAGTACAAAGTGATGATATACTTTAACACTTTATGAAGAGTGAAGAAAACAACTTGATAAACTGGTGTCATGCTTTCTTTTCAGGAAACATTCTTGGTGTGGTCCGTAATTATAAGAAGCTGGTGAGAACTTTCCGTCTGATGAGGAGGGCTGGTTATATCAATGAGTTTGTGTCCATATGTCCCAGTCATACACACAGATGTGTTTATATTGCATCTGATGGAGGGAGAGTGTGTAGGTGCGTATTTTGTAGTGAAAGTTTAAGGTATTTCTCTTCTTCACAAATCATTACTTGACACATTCATGCACTTGATTAGATATTTTAGTTGTACCATAAATAATTTAGTTATAATAAACTCAGAAGGAAATGTTGACATTGGGTACACTTCAGATAAACTTTGAGGGGCTTCCTTTTTCAATGTCTGAATTGGGAAGCTATTTGGACTTGTTTTGCTTAAAAGTTAAAGGGATAATAACTCTTTGTTTCGGCCAAAAAATTAATTTTCCTGGGGTAAACAACAATTTTACATATTTACCAATGGTTATCAATGGTTAATGGATCCATTTTTACATTCAAAGTTACTCCCTGGTTTTTTTCTAAAAAGTTTGGTTTTTTGTTAAAATCTGTTAAGAGATTTTAACAGAGTATAGCCATCAATGGAGGTCACGTGGTCTAATGACAAGCTCAGATATCAGAATAATAGCTATAACTGCCTTTTTTGTGGTAAAACAGAATATATTATATTTCTATGAGTTATTTCCAATGTTTTTATTGTGAAATATAGATCTCATACGAAGAGTTATTATCTCTTTAATGTTTTGAAAATGACTGAATATTTATTTTTTATTTATTTTTTTCAGACCTTATATTATTGTGGAAAACTGCATGCCAAAAGTCACATCAAAACACATAGAGGAGTTAACTCAAGGATTCAGGCAAGTCTTCTTTGTTTTGACATATCTAACAATCTAACAATCTTAAGATGGTTTGTAAACAAATAATTATTAAAACTACAGAAAATACTGGTTAATTGATGAATTGTGACATTATGTTATGCAGATGCTTTGAAGACTTCCTAAGAGACGGCCTTGTAGAGTACTTGGACGTGAATGAAGAGAGTGACAGCCAAATATCACTGTATGAAAGTGCAATAACCAGGTATTGTTTATTGTAATCGTGGTGAATTTTTATGATAAATATTTTATTCAGATAAAAAAAAATGTTTCTCCAGACTAGCAAGTGAATAACAATCTGATAATCACCCATTTGATAATAATTCAGAAATGTTTGAATCAGTGTGGCAGTTTAGGTCTCGGGTAAGGTTTATTTGTACAAATAAAAGCTGATATTTTAACTATTGAATATTTTTGGTTGGTATTTTAAATTTTACTAGCAACAGACTGTCAATTTATGTCTTATTTTAAATATGACATGGATAATTATATTTTGTCTTACAGCATAACAACTCATCTAGAAATAGAACCCTTCACAATCCTTGGTGTTTGTGCTGGGTTGATCCCGTACCCCCACCACAACCAGTCCCCCAGGAACACATACCAGTGTGCTATGGGGAAACAGGCCATGGGGACTATTGGATACAACCAAAGAAACAGAATTGATACCCTCATGTATTTATTGTGCTATCCACAAATACCTATGGTCAGAACTAAGGTGAGTTGATTATTATAATATTTTTATTACGTGATATAGCACTATTTAAATTTATGTGAGCATTAGGCATCTGGTAGGTGAGTGACATGCAATTGTATGATTGCCAAGATATTGCTTCCATAGAAAGGTGCTGGAAGTGAAAAAATACACTGTGTGTGGTATATATGGTGCAAAATATCACATATATTTAGCAGGCCATTGAAATTGCTATATTGGTGAACACACAGTCAGGTTTGATCTCTGGGACATTGATGTTCTTCAAGTACACCAAAGATATTATCATTGTACCACCAGCGTTAGCGCTGGCGGTACACATGGTTTCGGTCTCGTCCGGATCGTTCCGCCGGCTCCGCCGGCTCCGCCGGACGGCTACCGTTACCGCTTCTCCTCCTAGACGGTAAGGCCCCCCATACCCATCTCATGGNTGTGACCTTGAAATTGACCTTTGACCTACTTTTCACCATGAACTGAACTTTGCAAATTTTGCTTCCCTTTTATCTCCAAAACTGGCAGAGATAGGTCCATAGTTACTATTGAAGTTGGATAGGAAGTCATATACTGGCAATTTACTGTGACCTTGAAATTGACCTTTGACCTACCTTACAATGAACTTAACTTTGATTGCACCATTTTTAGTTATATATATTTTTTGCATATTTTGAAAATTCTTGTTGATTGCATTTTTACAGCTTGTCAAGCACAAGACTGGTGGCTGCACCCCTTATTTTGTGTATGTGGGGGTCTTTACGAATGCGCTTGCTCCAGCTGGTGGTACAATATTCGGAGGCGGTATCGCCTCTCTGATCCTCTAGTTTTCTTTCAGACTATAGACTTGATCCATTTTGACAAGGTACCTGCAGGTCAGAATGCCACAGTGGCTGTGATGAGCTATAGTGGATATGACATAGAAGATGCCCTTATATTGAACAAGGCCTCTGTTGACAGGGGTAAGTGCTGTTCACGTGTTACTATTCCATCTAGCTATTTACCTTGGAGACTGGTGGATGGTTGGGGATACCATAGATGACCTAACAGTCACTTGGTTTCATTCTTCTTGCCTTTTCATCTAGCTCTAGAATCAAAAATGAAGTCACTGTTATAAATGCATCATAATTATTTATGTATCTATTACAGTGCTTTAACAGACCCCTTACCATCACGTAACATATAAATCTGTTGTGTCTCCGAAATGCTTTACTCAATGTTTATTTTTGTAAAACAAATAAATAAATTTTGGAATATTATGATAAGGAAAATGAGATTGAACTTTGTTTAATAAACCTTCATTCCATTGATGAAGTGATATAATAAATTACATGGATTGCATTTTTTTAGGTTTTGGCCGTTGTCTAGTGTACAGAAAGAATGGTACCACATTGAAGAGGTATGCCAACCAGTCTTTTGATAAAGTCATGGGCCCAATGCTGGATGCCACCACAAGAAAACCAATTTGGAGACATGATGCTCTGGATGCTGATGGAATATGTGCTCCTGGTAAATAAAAATCTGATTAAATATTGATATGTTGATAATGAAAATTAAAAGTGAATGATGAAAGAAGGTAAGCCTGTAACTGTTATAAAATGTTAAATTTTCTTTCATACCAAACTACAGGAGATTTTGCAACTCTGTACTTTGCAATTGCTGACATGTATTAAAAGTGTTTTTTTTTTTCAAGTGTTTTAAGGTAATTCATCTGATCAGTGATATATTACAAGTACCCTGTCTAATAAAAATGTAGACAGAATGAAATATTGTTATCTTTGTTTTCAAGAAAGAGATTTCCTTGGTAGGCTTTGAATTGATGCTTATGCTACTTAGACAAACAACAAACAGATTGATATTTCTTTTTCAGGTGAAAAAGTTGAAAACAAACAGTTACTAATCAACAAATCTATGCCAACTGTGACAATGAGTCCTGTAGAGTCTGGAGGCCAGCAACCAGAGTATAGAGAAGTGCCTATCACGTAAGCACTCTCTGGTTTTTGCTGTCTGCCACCAGTTTCTTTCATTTTCATTCTCATTTCCATGTTTAATTATAAAAAAAAATTATGTGTCTTGCACATAAAATAAAACGAAAGAAAAAGAAAACTCTCTTTAGATGCATGACCCATGTTTTCTTGTTAACTTTTTAAAGATGACTTAAGCAAAACATCAGCTTGATGTCGGAGTAAATGTGCATTGTATTAACTTTATTTATTACATATTATTTGGGTTTCTTTTAATTTTTAGGTACAAAGGCCTGGCACCATCTTACATAGAAAGAGTGATGATTTCGTCCAACCCAGAGGAAGCTTTTCTCATCAAGATTTTGTTAAGACAAACAAGGAGACCAGAGATTGGGGATAAATTCAGCAGTAGGCATGGACAAAAAGGGTAAACATGGCAATTTTTAAAACATTTATGTACCAACTCTTTGTTATTATTATTTTTTATTTTTGTTTATTGTGTGGTCTTATTCTGCCATTATAAAAGATAAAAGTAATTTTTCTTACAGTTATGTATATTAGATATGTTGTGTTTCCTTTTTATAGGGTTTGTGGTCTCATAGTGCCCCAAGAAGACATGCCCTTTTCTGAATTGGTATGTATAGCTAATTACTTTTCAATGTTGTTAAGACTTTGATTAATGTTGACTTGAGGTATAAAAGTATCTCATGTAAAGCTTATCAATCATAAATCAAAATTTCTTAAAGATTTGCATTTGTTGAATACATTTGAAGATTAGTGTCTGATGTTTGGTAAGAAATGTGCCATTAACAACTGCATTTATTTTTATTGCAGGGAATTTGCCCAGATATTGTAAGTGCAGTTTAGATTTATATTGTATGAAAATAAACAAGTTCTAGATTATAATTTTTTTCATCATTTTAAGTGATTTGCATTTGAAGACAACAGATAAGTTAGTTTCTTTATAAAATCCAGTGGTTTTTTGATAGAATGAGATCCATTTTGATTTCCATGTATTTGTTAAACCATAGAGCAGTATTTGGCACGTAATTGTTATTATACATACTAAGCTTCTTTTAAAAGAAAAAAAAAATTTTTCAGATCATGAATCCTCATGGGTTTCCATCACGTATGACAGTTGGGAAATTGATGGAACTTCTGGCAGGAAAGGCTGGCTTGCTGGATGGAAAGTTTCATTATGGAACAGGTACATAAGAACATTTGAGGATGCTATCTTCTAATCTTTCATCAAAGAAGTTATTGCTATGTTTATCCATATTATCAAGAAGGCATCAAGGGAGTTACCCTCAAGAGGTCACAGTTATCAAAAATGAAGCTTACATTAGGAAATTTCTCCACTTTAGGACCAACTTTTCTGAGCTGATTTCGGCCATTTTGGTTGAGCATTTTTGGTAATATATTCTTGATATTATGTAAAATGCCACATTTTTCAGAAGTGCACTAATGTATGAATTTAAAGTTTTAACAATAGGTACTGTAGGTATGGTGTGGTACACCAAGATCCAAGATATTTATTGTTACATATGTTGCATTTTTGTATAATTGCATTTTTGTTGAACTGATTATTATGATTTTTGACAGCTTTTGGGGGTGACAAAGTGAAGGATGTTTCAGAAGATCTCATCAGACATGGATTCAACTATTTGGGAAAAGATTATTTAACTTCTGGAGTAACTGGGTAAGATCAACCTGTGCCAAGTAGTTTTTGCAATGACCCATGCCAAAATTTAAAGGGAAAGTGATGTGATGTATTAGAATTTCTTTAAAGTCCAATCAGTGGTTAAATCAAAATATGCATACGTAATACATTTTAATCCACATGTTTGTCAGGAGCAACCAGGAACAATTTTTTTTTTTTGTGTGTGTACGTTAGTCAACCTAACTCATCAACAGACGGAATTCTTCATGAGATAACTGTATATTTTCAGTGAGCCCCTCACAGCCTACATCTACATGGGTCCTGTGTATTATCAAAAATTAAAACACATGGTGATGGATAAAATGCATGCACGTGCAAAAGGACCACGTGCCGTGCTCACCCGTCAGCCCACTGAGGGTAGGTCGCGAGATGGAGGTCTACGTCTTGGAGAGATGGAACGTGATTGCTTGATTGGCTATGGTGCAAGGTAAGAAATTATATATCTTCATCGTCGTATATTGTAATTCAATTTTACATAAAAGCAGTCTGTTTGTAATACTTCTGTTCTAAACAGTCAGTGGAGAATTGATAAATTAAAAGTCACAGTTTTATTAAAGTGAAGTACAATCACCGGAGTTTAACAGTTTATTCTTGTTGTTTCTAGTATGCTCTTACTAGAGCGCCTGATGATCTCCAGTGATGCCTTTGAAGTGGATGTCTGCAACAAATGTGGTCTTCTAGGATATTCTGGATGGTAATGTTACTAATGCTTTTGGATAGAAGCAGTTGTAATGTCTCACATTTACCACACGGAAATTAATTGATTAGAATTTATGCGCTCTTACACTTATATACAGAAATATAATTTGGTTTTCTGGATGGCAAATTTAATATTACTTCTACATTGGTAGTGAATTATCTTGTTTTTTCGAACAAACATCAATTACAAATGAATTTATGTGAGAAAATACAGGGTCATACAGCAGCCATCAACTTTGTATAGTTTTAATAGATGATTTAATGAATTATGAGATTTCATTTCTACTGTTTGAGTGTTGCCTACTGTACTATGACCATTTGTTCATATTTTTGAGTCAATTTATTATTTGTTGAAACTAAAGGAAAATTTCTCAATAATTCCAGGTGTCATTTCTGCAAATCGTCAACAGATGTCTCTCATCTCAAGATCCCATACGCTTGTAAACTGCTGTTCCAAGAGCTTCAGTCCATGAACATTGTGCCAAGGTTGACACTGAAGAAATACAATGAATAGAAACAATGCCAGTGTGTCATATCAAAGAGGGTGTTGGCATACTCAAACGTGTCAATTTACAGCAAAGAAGTACCTCGGCTGCATTTAGTAGCAGCATTAGCTTTTAAAATATCAGAATTATTATCACTGTGTGTGCATGCATGCATGGGTGCAAGTGTGTTTGGTCAGATGCATATGTGGTAATATGTTTTTTTAGCTGATGTTTGGAGATGCTTCTTGTTAAACAGTGCATAGAACAGGCATAAGTATTAAGACCTGACAACTTTGTTGAGATTAGTTTTTGTATTTAAAATTATATTATATCAGGTTGTTTATTGAAAATATATTTCACCCAAGCATAATGCCTTCAGTCAGTAAACTGTCAAGGTCACTTTACAGATGGGAAGTTTGGGTATGAATAAATACATGATAGTTGCTCTTTCATACACTTGACTCTGTATGCCAACTTATTGTCTTTGAAAAAACAAGTTCTCATGTAGCAGTGATAACAAAAGTTGTGCACTCTTTTCTAGCAAGATGAAACATCAGTTATGGAATTTTGTAAATAAATTGATAAGCTCATTTAAAATATAAGAAAAATCATGTTGTTATTTGTTATGCAATAAAATATTCTGTTTTCCACCTGGAATATGGCTTTTTTTATCGATTATTAAAACTATTCTCTTTAAAAACAATTGTAAGAAATTTACAAAATATATAATATACATTCTTCTTGAAACTGAAATTAGCACTTTCTCTCTGTAACAAAGAAAGAACGGGAAAGGCTTATCCAGCATGTAGTTGTTTCGTTAGGAATCCCTCCTTAATTTATCTACATCATGAAAACGTACAAACGAAGTGGTTAAACTGCTAGATTGCTCCAGATTGTTCATTTGTCACGCGTCGCACCTGTCGCATTACAAGACATTCGTCCAATCACGTAAGGAACCGTCAGTTTGTCCGTCTCTGGGAATTGCGCATGCGTGTACTGTCTCTAACGTGGCAAGTAAACGAAGTTGTAGTTCTCTGGGGGATTAGCCACGTTTTTGGCTAAGTTGCAGCAAAAATGGGAACTCTAGAATGTTGTTTAGGAATCTTTATATCTCTACTATGCATAAGCTACATAAACTGTTACTTTGTTAGCATAGACGCTAACGCAGAAGAGTGTTATTTCGAGAGGGTAAAACCCGGCACGAAGATGAGCTTGATGTTTGAGGTGGCAGAAGGCGGATTTCTGGACATAGATGTGAAGGTAATGGCAAATCACATTTAAACAAGGTAGTGCACAGAATTAAGGTCCTGTGGAATATTGTTTCTACCATATATATAGATGAACGTGATCTGTAATGTTCTGAGCTACTACTGTAAGCATGAAAGCATATGTGGCCTGTTAATGCAAACACTAACTATTACACTCAGTTCTGGTAGTGGGTGTATTGCAATATTGCTATATTTATCTCTGACATCCTGTTAAAAATCTGGAAGGCAGCCATCCTTCATATTAAGGGAAACTTTAAGAAATGCGTTGTGAGTTCAGATCTATTATGAAATGAAAGAAAAAACTACCTTTGCATGTTTATTGTACAGTATGCTGTGCTTCTTTGACATATGTTGTGGAATATTTACGAAAAATCATTTTTAAATAAAAAATAGTGTGTATTGAGTTGAAAATTTAACTAAAAATCCATATGGTCTCCTGACAAGCTTTAACAACCATATGGTGTGATGTGTGAAATTTTGCCCTTATAAGATATGCAGGTATTTCATAAGAACAGCTTTTGTTATAGTTGAGAACAACTTCCATTGATTATAGATGTAGAAGTAAATGCATTGCTCTCCCAATATGTTTATTCTGAATTTATACACAAAATCTTTTTTATTTTGTCAGATCACTGGGCCAGATGGAAGAGAAATTTATTCAGGAGATAGAGAATCAAATGGAAAGTACACCTTCTCTGCACATATGGAAGGCGTGTACAAGTATTGTTTTAGCAATAGGATGTCAACAATGACACCTAAAATTGTTATGTTTTCACTAGATGTAGGGGATCAGCCTGGTGGAGAGAAGGATAATACCATGGAGAGTGATGGTAAGATATTTTGGAGCCAACAATCTCCAAAATAATTCAACCAAATGGTGATGGGTAATACTCATGACAACTTCAGCAACTTAAAGGACAATGTTCATGTAAAAATCCATTTCTCGAATTTTGAAGATACAGCACTCAATCTATACACTAGAGGTATGTTTTAATCGATCCCCGCCATTTAAAAATTATAAAAACAATCTATTAGTAGAAAAAAAGCGTTTTAGTAAACCTCACCTCAATATGCAAAAATGAAGCAACAGATCTGGGTCACGTGGTACTGTGACGACAATCACGATAAAGGTCTATGAGACTCAACTGAGCTGCAGGTGCATACAGACGGAGAAGTTAAGGAAAGTTGTGTTGAACGGAGTTGAGGAATTTTCGTTATGCCTCGGTGTGTTGCCGTGGGATTCACCAAAATTGCAGCTCTCGTTGACAATCTTTCTTTGTCTGTGACGGTCTTCCGTGACTTACTTACTAACTTCGGTGACAATAGTTGCGATGCTCTAGATCATGGTCACCTCAGGTGGTTTAGATCATATCAAGAGCTGGTAGTCTTTCAGATTAACTGTCATCAGTTGGCAAACTTACTGATTGCTGATGCATTTTAAATGCATTGTAGTTGACCAAAAGCTCGTTTACAACAAACCTGTTAATTATGCACCGCTGCAATTCCCAAGCCAGGTAATAACAGGTATGAAACTCGTCTTGGTGGGCTTTCATATTTTTCAATATATCTCATTTATTTCATGGGGTTATTTTATTGGTATTTGTAAATGACGTTAAATATCAATACTTAAACAATTAAGTTCAAACACGGTCGCGAACATTAATAAAAGAAATTGCTCTCAGGGTATCTTGAAGCTTCCGTGGAAGAAAACGTGTTGAGGAAAAACAGGAAAAAGAGCGTTATATTAAAGAAAAAATGGGAACTGCTATAATAAAATGGTTCGTTATCCTAATT